CGGTTTTCGTGTAATTGAAAACTGGAAGGAAGTTTAAGGATATGTCTTGTCTGGTAACTTGCAGAGTGAAAGAGATGGGGAAATGATCGCTGGACACAACTGAATGTACTGAGAAGTTCCGGGAGAACGGTAGGGTTGAGTCCGATATTATAGCAAGGTCAACAATGTTGTAAGAGTCGGTGACTGCATGGTACTGTTGGATTGTTAGTATTTATGACGTGCATGTTGTTTTCTAACAAGGTGTGAAGGGCTAATCCTCTGGCGTTAGTGCGGTAGCTGTGGAAATCGGTGTGGAGGGCATTGAAGTCTCCTACTAAAATACATGAATAAACAGTTTAGAAGGAAGTTTGTCTAACGGTTTACTGGGAGAACAATACATGGCTAGAAGTGGAATTGACTGCCTGTTGTTAAGCCTGATTTTACATAGGATACTTTCGTTAACTTTTGAGAAGGTGTCTGTTTCAGTACTTATACGGTGAGAGAGATGATTTTTAAAGTAAGTAACTATGCTTCTTGTTTCGTCTGTTTTATGGCGCGAAAAATATTTAAAGCCTGGAATGTTTATGTTAGATTTTCTTTAGCTGTTGTTTCTGAAATTATAATTATGTCTGCGTCGATATTGCTGTTTAGGTCGAGAATCTCAAGTTGGTATCTAGACGTCCCTGACACTTTGTGTGTAGGATGTTTAGTGTGTTTCTGAAGATTCTGCTTTCCGCTTACGGGCTTCGATGCGAAGTGTAATGTGGTGAGGCTTTAGGTTGGTTACTTGAAAATAGTTGTCTAACTGATTTGCGAACGTGGTTAATGAGTGCATTATGTTTTTCCATGGTGGTGTCATGCCCTGGTAGAAATGTGCATAACTCGGTAAGAAAGGCTAGTAAGTTAATAGTAAAAACACCTAGATTATTGTGTGAGTGACTCAAGTGATTTTGCAGCTCAGATGTTGTATTAGTTTGTTTAACTGTCTTATCTGCGAAATTGGTGGGTTGTGTTGTTTAGTGTGGCAGTGAAAGTGAATTGTGGTGGTGTTGAGGAATAACATCCCCTTTCCAAGGGTCCGTCCTCTCACCACTCCTTT